ATATATGATAGTAGGCTGGATATATATATCAACCGAGGTTCCCAGTCACCTCCTTACATCTGCTTGTCATTCAAATTCTCAACCATTCAGCTTCAGACCTTCTGCTCATCCCCATAAACACCTAAGTACGCTATTTGCACAGTCTTCAAAAAAGAGCTGCCTATCACCCCTACTCAGATGAGGAGGCAATCTCAAGGATGTCAATTAACTTAAATTCCAGCCACTGTAAGATGGCTTAACAGAATTTGAGTCCAATACATCCGCTTCTGAAGCTCTCTCTTTCCCATTTAGCTCTGGCTTTGCAGCCTCATCTCTTATACTGGTTTGTCTAGAGTATTCTAGCAGCTCTGCTTCTAGCCCAAATGCATCTGAGCATAATAGAAAAAGTTGCTCATTCCTCAAGCAATATTTGAAAGTTACTATATTCTCACACCATCTAAAGAATAATATCAATCTACTCTGTGAAGCAAAGTGAAAAGGCAGGAAGCTTGGCCTCTAGCTTTAGTGTCTGTGGGTACCAGATGAAAGGGAGATGAGAGAAAAAAATGGTGGTGACAGAGGGCTCTGCTTCTATGATTCAGTCAGGAGTATTTAATTTAAATTTGGCAAAACAACAGTTCCATGAATAAGATGTCACTTGAGGCCAGGCAAGGAGAAATAATCATATGAAGAGCATCTTCATTAACTTTCATCCTACTTTCCCAGGAGTACTTTGCATTGCTCCCGAAGACTTACACAGGGATGCAAGTATGGTCCTCTATGAGGACTAGCCTTGGGATCTGGGGCTATGGATGGAGGCAGTTGTTACCCAGATCTCGTGGGCATGCTCTAAGTGTTCACATGCATACACAGTTTATGTGTGGGATTGTATTTATTTAAGAGTAAGAATGGACTTTGACTCGATGTTCCAGAATTTTCTAAGAGGATCACAAATGTCTCCCTTTCTGCTTACCGTAAACCTTTAAATATGGTGTCTTTGTATAGTGCACAAACTGAGCATTGATTCATAAAAACCTCATTTCTAGCCTGGCGTGGTGGCGCATGCCTTTAATCCCTGCACTCGGCAGGCAGAGGCAGGCAGATCTCTGTGAGTTCAAAGCCAGCGTGGTCTACATTGCGAGTTCCAGGCCAGTTGGGGCTACAGGGAGACCCTGACTCAAAAAAGCTCCCCCTCCCCAAAAAAAAAAAAAAAAAAACAAAACAAGAAAAAAACCTCATCTCTGAGTGACCAATACCCAGCTTACTTATGCTCCAAATTCTGAGACTGTTTTGTTGGTGTCATTTACATGCCCACCCACAGTGGTGTAACTAATGTTACTGTGTGATTAACATGTACAGCCATCTGTCTAATGCTTTTCCATTATATCTGCTTTTCCCTAAGCCAGTTGTTCACATATGGAGCAACTATTTTGATTCTTTGTCATCATAACTAAACAAAACTGAGGTAATTTTCTCATTCTTTGTCTATAATGAGACTTTTTCTTTTGTCATTAATTTTCTTTGGGGGTAGTTAAAGGGGATTAAGAATCGGGGAGGGGGTGATAGCATTTAAAACTGACAAAAAATTCATTTATTTGATCATTCTGAATATTTTCCCATATATTTCACTTTTAAATCTCAGAAGTAGAATAAATATAAATAGTAAATATTCCATTGCACCAATTCAAATTATAATTTAACTTGAAATATAGTTTGTGCCATTCATATTTTGCAAAATATAATATGTGTATTCTAGGTCAAAACAGTTTAACTATGCTTCACTCTTCATCTAGTCTATTAGGAAATAAGTTGTATGTCAGCCTGACTGGGCCAGGGTGCTTACCTGTTTAGTTAAATCCCAATTGAAAGGTATTTTTATAAAATTATTAATCCTTAAGTCAGTAGACTTTAAGTGACATAAATTACTTTACATAGTATAAAAGGCATTGTCTAATCAGTAGAAGGTCCTAAGAACAAAGGTAGAATTTACTTGAAGAAACAAGTCTGTTGCAAGACTGCAGTGCATTCTTGTGAGTCTTGTCATGAGAACTGGACTAAAGATTGCCACTTTTAACCTGAATGTTCTAACCATCTTGCTCATCCTAAGGATTTTGAACTTGCCACTTTCACAGTCACATGAGCCAGCTTTTAAAAGTAATCTGTATCCAGCTATCATCTATCTACCTAGTTCTATTGATTGATCTATCCAATTATCCAGCTATCTATCTCCTTCTCATATGTTCTCTTTACTTTGTAGAACTTTGACAAATACACAAAGCATATTTATTATTAAATCGATTTATAATTAGCTAAGTACAGTAAGAGTATGATGTGACTATGGGGGAAAAAACCCTAAAAGACCTTCAGAAGAAGGCAAAGTGAGAGAGGAGAGATGTGTAGCTAGATGCTAGAAGACTCTGCTTCATATATACTTTATATAAATATATACCTTATATTGACTTGTGTTTCTTTCAATGTATAGGTGTCAAGCACCATCTTTAATAGCTCAATTGGAAAATTCTCAGTATTCTGTCATGGTAGGAATTACTGATATAAGGGCCAAATTATCATTTATTAAAAATACACTGGGAAAGTTGTTATCTATTGCAAGTTTTTTTTATGATTTGCCTACTTTGAATCTACAGAACACCAAGACAAGGGTCTGTATGTATCCAAAACATGCCCAGCATACCTTCACATATAATGTCTTACCTATCTTGAATATCTCCACACTTTTGCAAGTCAAATTCTTTTCTCTAAGCTTCACACATACATTGCTTTTACCAACCAGTACAAATTTCGTTGTCTTGATGAAATATTTGTCTTCCAGCTTATTAAGAGTCAGACAATTTATTTCCATCAGTGCTCCACTGTAGAAACAAAAAAGAAGTTTATCTTGATTCAAGTTGGAGTGTATGTAACCAAAGAATAACATCACATGTATATTTTAGTTGTTGTGAGTTGAGCTTCAGTGTCTACAAGTATATGACTGGGTGGATTAATGCTCAGAAGATAGAAAATAATGAATTAAATAATGAATAAAATACCATTTTACCTGTGCCATTATAATAAATGATTATTTATTCTATTGCATGGAAATGAGTCTGGAAAAGTGGAAACATCCTTGTGGAAATTAGGGAAAAACCTCTGAATTTTTTTTATAATTAAAAATTGAGAAATGAATACTTTGTTTAGGTAGGCAAGTATTGATTTTTTGATGTCCCACAGGTATACGTGGTACATTTTACTGCTATAAAAATGTTGATAACTCACTCTTTCAAATAAGATCAAAGGCAATGCCAAACTAGTCTAAAGGGTTATATATATAGAATCACATATACTTAGTAAATAAACTAAGGGATTTTCATAGGGACTGTGCCTGATGAGTCCTAACAAAACAGATCAAGAAAAGAAAAATCTGGATGTGGTTACTCATGCCTCTAATCCCAACAACTGAGAGCTTGAAGTAGGAGAATTGCTGTTAATTTAAGTCCAGCCTGGGTTGATAGTGACTACCAGGACAGCTTGGATGTGTAAATTATAAATTGCCTGTACATGTAATGTAGGAGACCATACCTTTGTAGTTCATGCAGATATTAAAACTACATGAAATATAACAACTTATGCCAATGTTTGTAATAATTTTGCTGAAGCGAAAGCATTCTTAAAAATGTAATTTTTTTCTGGGCATGGTGGCATATGCCTTTAATCCCAGCACTTGAGGGGCAGAGGCAAGTGGGATCTCTATTAGAGCAAAGCCAGGCTGGTCTACATAATGTTTCCAGGCCATTTGGGGCTACATGGAGAGCCTGTCTCAAAAAGAATGAAAAAAAAATTTGTAAAAGTGATCCTTACAAATAGAACTGTATGTCTAAAGGTTATAGACTTCTGAATTCTATAAAATGCGTAAGAAAGAAATAATGCCAATATTACAAAAGTTCCCCCCTTAAATCAAGCTGATCTTATTTTAGAAGCTAGCTTAAATTTGCCACCAAAGCCTAGCAAAAAATATTCTAGAAAAGAAATCTACAGATAAATATTCTTCAAAAATGTATGTACAGGTCTGAGTATGTGGCTCAGTTTGTAGAGTGTTTTCTATGCACAAAATCATGCAAAAACTTGTCATGGTAGGATACACCTATAATCCCAATACTTAAAAGATGGAGAGGAGAGCTGGACAGTTGGCTCAGTGTTTAAGAGCACTGGTTGTTCTTGCAGAGGATCTGGGTTCAATTACCAGCACCCACATGGTGGCTAACAACCGCCCTAATTCCAGTTCCAAGGGAATCCGACACCTCCTTCTGACTTCTGTGGGTACTGAGTGGCTTGGGTGCACTTAAATACATACAGACAATATATGCATACACATAACATAAAAATAATAAATAAAAATATTTTTAAAAGTTGGAGAGGAGAGTATCTGAAATTCAAGGCCAGTCCCAGCTACCGAGTAAGGTTCAGGACAGCCAGGGGAACAAGACCTTGTCTCAAAAAATGTATATGCAGAGTTCCTCAAAGTAATGTTAATACTTTGATAATAATGAATCATGACTTAAGTGGGTTGAGTACCAGAAAAACAAAGTAGGTTCAATATTCAAATATCAATCAGAATAACTTACCATATTAACAGAATAAAGCAAATAAATGGTTATCATCTTTAATGGAAGCAGAAAATATTGACTATAATCCAGACTTTTTTCATAATTAAAAACCTTCAATAAGCAAGAAGTAAAATAAGACACTTTCTCTAACTAATAAAGCACATTTCCAGAAAGTTAATAAAAATATCTTATTATTACACTACGATCAGAACAAGACAAACATTTCAACTTTGTACATGCCTATTTAGCAGCATACTGGAGGACCCATCACTTCATAAGACAAGAGAAACAAATGAAAAGATATTCAGAGTAGAAAATAAGAGAAAATGTTTCTCTATTTCCAGGAAAACTATTCATTCACATGGATATTTAAAAAGACTCTCAAATACAACTATAGGAACTAATAAATTCATCAAATCCAATTATATTTCTATAGGATAGCATCAAATAATTAGAAACTGAAGTTTTAAACTGACAGTTCCATTTGTGATAATAATTAAAACAAAATAATTAGAAATAAAATTTATGTAGATGTTCAAGGCCTTTGTATGAGAAATTATAAAACATATCAGAGAGATATTAAAAGAAGTCTAAATAAAAGAAAGCTATGTTCATGCATTAGCAATTTCACTGCTGATAAATTAGAATTTTTCCCAAGTTGGTCTACACACTATTAATCATAATCCTCACAGGATTTAAGAAAATATATAAAGGATAAGATGATTCTATAATCTGTGAGGAAACAAGGAATTCAGAAGAGCAAAAAACAAGAATGAAAAAACTCGAACAAATATGGATGACTCAGAATACCTGAGTGTAGAGAATATGATCCTTGATCCTGAGTAAGCATGTCTAGATTTTAGGTCCAAGTATAAGGTTTATAACAGTAAAATGTTTAGATTAAATATAGGAAAAACTTTTCCAAACTTGAGACCAACCAAACATGTACTTGAGTATATCCAGAAAAAGGAAAGGACACATTCACTCAATTCACCAAAGAAACAGTCTCACTTCCCAGGACTTATAACACACTCCTTATCACACACACACACACACACACACACACACACACACACACACTTCCCTGGTTAAAGGAAAGAACTCTTTTTGTGTAAGCAAACTTATACAGAGTAATTCTGCCAAGATCTTTACTTCCAACTAAGCCTAGTTACCCCACTTTTCAGAATTATTTGGCTTGGCATAAAGAACAAAGAACCTGTAGAGAACAAAAAATCATAATGATACTATCCAAAAAAGGGAAATTAAATTGAGGGCTATGAAAGGGGGAGAAACTAGTAATTTTGCTATTATTATGTATTATTTAGTTTTAAAGTGAGAATGTATATCTTTACTCTTTCTTTAATCTTTCCAATACTCATTTAACCTCTACTTTCTTCTTTGCTGACAGTTCATTGAGGGACAAATTTTCACCTGGTAAAATGTGCCGGTCTTCAGTGGTTTTTTGAGACCTGTATATGACATGTAGCCATTGGCGCAGTTATCAGTATAGCACATTTCTTTTACGCTAGTTGGATTGTGTGGGTGCACCAGTTATCTCAGTGCCTGAGAGCAATCAGAACTCTCACTTCTCGTGCACCTTCGTCAGGAGCAGTTCTTATTATGGTAATAACATTATTTATCCTTTCATACCTGATTTTTTCACTTATCCAAATTATCAGGAGATTTAGTCTGTTGAAGTTTAACCTTTATAGGCTAGCCCCTTGCTTCTGTGTGGAAAGAGGAAGATATTCATGTGACTTTGGCTAAGTGAGACATGGAGTTAAAACCTGAGGGAAATCCCCCAGCATCACATACAGACTCTTGAACTTCTGGAATACTGTGGTTTTTGAGTGACTAGTTATGTTCTTCTAATTATGACTCCTAGAGATTAGTGAAAAATTATAAATTTATTTTAATATATATTTATTATTTGTAAAACATTTTAAAAATTGCCCCCTGCAAAAATGTAGTTTTTGTGAACTGTCATCTACTGTGGTATGCAGTTGTTCAAACTTCCCCTTCCCTTCTGTGTATGTGCATAGTTTCTAGAATATTGTATATTTATGATTTCTCACTTGGAACAGAGTGAAAATAAAAAGCAAATATTAGAGGCAGGCCCATTTCTGTGAGTTTGATGCCAGTCTGGTCTACATAACAAGTTCCATTCCAGTTAGGGCTGTATATTGAGACCCTGTTAAAAAAAAAAGCAAGCTAGATAGAAGGGAAAACTTTTGATGGGTGTAGAAGTCAGATGATTGAAACATTGCCACTATTTGCTGAATTAGAACAGAAATATGAGTATTGGGAGAAGGACTTTATTACTGAATTTGAGGTGTACCTACAAGGTAGAGAAACTAGAAGGACTGTGGATTTTATGTCAGTCCTTCAACTTAGACATCTTTGTAAGTAACGTATGAATTGAATATTCAGTTACAGACCCTAAACCTGTAACAACTTTTTGGTATTTTAGAAGTTTAAGATAGACCTAAAATGATATTCTTGACTCATTCTCATTTCTCAGACAATGAAATTAATGAGTGATGGACAATAAAGGATCCTATATGGCTGTCTTGTTGGTCCCTCTGAGGGGGCCTCCAGCTCTAAGAGCTGCCCATGTAGACAGGAAGCCATTGGCAGCTCTGGGTTGTGCCTCTGACCCTCACTTCACATGATTGGGAGAATGTTATCATTACCACCAGTAGCTTTAGTTAGTTCAGTTACAAGAATTTATTTGGTTACTTACTGTGCACTGACTGAGTTTGGAATGTTCTGGGGCTTTCTTATCCATCACAATTGCAACTCTCCCATATGGGGCTAGTCCAAATTGCAATGTGATCTAAATATAAAATGTACACTGCATCTTGACCAGATAGACATATATATAAAACAAATGCATGAAATCTGGTGTGGGGTTATGGGAGGGTTATGGATGGGGGAGGGGGTCTAAATTTTATTAAGATCTATTACATGAATTGCACCTAACTCAATAAAATATACATTAAAATACACTGCATTTGAGGATTTACTATGAGAAGACAATAAAATATCTTAATATTTTATTCATATTGGCCATATGTGAAATTTTCTAAATATAAAGTATTTATTTAAATATTGTTACAATTATTTTTATTTATTTTCCCTTTTGAAAAATGTGTTCTGAGAGGAGGCTGGTGAGGTAGCTCAGTAAGAAAAATAAAGATACTTGTTGCCAAACCTTATGATTTGCCTTCGATACCTAGTGGAAGGAACAAACCAAGGACTCTCACAGGTTGTCCTTTGACACAGTGAACACACATTCACTGTTACACCTGTGTAAAGTCCACACAAAATAAATGAATAAATAAATAAAATAAATGTATAAAATAGCTTTTAAAATGTATCGCTAGAAAATTCAAAACAAACTGTGTGCTCATACATTGACTGACTGCATCATATTTATATTAGACAGAGCTGTCTAGGGTATGTGAGGAAGGGGAAAATTATAGTTAGTATCCAAGAAACATTATAGGCTCATGATTTTGACATTTTATGATGTTCATAGGGGGATCAGCCCTAAGCCATGTTCCCAAATCATCTGGTTCTGAAAATAGGGAGAGACTGCTGAGGTCCATGTAACCTAAATTTTAATTCCACTTCCATCATCAAACACCTCCAATATTGCATAGTTTAGTGTAAGAGATTCTTTTGTCTTATTGGATATGTATATTGGAGAAAACAAACCAAGAAAATCCTGAATGTTTGGAGAGCTAGTTTAGTGGCCAAAGGACTAAACTAACAATGCTTAACAGATATCTCTAGTCAAACCTAGTACATCAGGGTAGCTTGTGAAGGTAATGGTAATGGATGAAAAGAAACAATTACATATTTGAAGTGGTATCTTCATGTGGGAGTAATCACATGGCCTCCAAGAATACATAACCAAAATAAGTATGATTGCTTTAGTATGAATTGATTGAAATTATATAAACAGCTGAAGCATAGGGCACCAAATTTAGACTATCTTTGGGATATACATATGTAATAGAAATGAGAGAAATTCCCATTTTTAAAACCATCCAGAATTCTACTAGAGGTGGTTTTTGCTATATAGATGTGTCATCATTAGCTCTGATTCTTTAAAACAAATCTGACTTTTCAAATGCTGGCAGCTAATACCTTTATGAGGACTGCATGGAGAGCTGAATCAGATGATGCTAGTCCTAAAATTAACAAGCCATATGAACATTTGTTCAGACTGAGAGAATCAAGTACCATTTGCAGATATCTACCATACCTGCCAGACACCCAATGCAAGGTAGCTGGAAATATCTTCCTAGTCACAGAGCTGGTCAGTCTTGCTATTGGGATTCACACCAGGTGCCTCTTTTAAGAGTCTCTGCTTTGTTGCCTGAGTCACCTAAGTTTCGACTAGAATTTTGGTGACTGAAAACATTTTAGAATCCTCACCCCAGTGGTAGATTTATTATGATATGTAATCTGTTGGCCTTCTCAGTCTTTCTTACCCTTCTCTCATAAGTCCTATAGGACTAGACCCTAGAACGAATATTTACATTTTTGATAATTGTGTCTGTCAGTGTGAATCAGTCAATTGGTATACTGGTAATTCACCGAAGTGATCTTTGTTAATTTGATCTTATCTCTAAGATCAGTTATTTGAACACTAAATAAATCAGGTTTTTGGTCAGAGAGACTGGCCACCAGATCCAGGGCAGATGTTAAAATCATTACTTTCTGAGAGAAGGGACTCAGCATCTATCAGTGATCCCATGTAATAATCTTATCACCATGCACTACTCTTAGTAAATTCTAACTTATGCTACACACACACACACACACACACACACACACACACACGACACACTTCATTGTGAAAAAAACGTGAAAAATCAGTCCTCAGTTTAATTAAGTCGATTTATTTTTTTTTTCAACTTAGTGAAAGAATATCCTACTCAAGATGTAGGTGCCTTATGGAAATGGCAGCATTCTAGAAGTATCTTTATCTATTGAGTTCAATGCTCTGTTTCACACTAAATATACCTTAAGATATAGGTTAGGGCAATCTCTTTCCAGCTGAAATATCTGAATCCATTTGAAAAGCCCAAATGGAAGATCTGGACAGACTAAAATATGTCAGGTAAATCCATGACACTTAAAGACTGTTCAAGTGGGGAAGAAAGTGGTGGAATATCATGTAAATGAAAGTGGAGAGAATGACCAGTCATTGCCAGGCCAAGTGAAATCACGACAGCCCACCTACAAGCTGGCTGAAGTCAAGCCTCTGGGTAGGAAGTTCTTTTCCCATAAAAATGAGTGCATTGTTTGAATGAGTCATTTAAGCTGTTTTGACAAATTGTATGATTGATGCTAATATATGTATTTTGTGTTGTTTTATTTTCTATCTGGCATATGTGTGCACATATCTGTGTGTGATCACATATCCATGTGCGTATGCATGTATGCCTGTGTATGTGAAGGGCCAGAGGTGAAAGTCCAGTCTTTCAATGAACCTGGGACTCAACTGGGCTAGCCTGACCAACCTGCAATCCTCTGGCATCCCCCTTTTTTCCATCCCCCAACCTGGGGCTAGAATTACAGATTCAAGCTACCACAGCAAGATTTTACAAGAGTGCTGGGAGTTCCAAGTTAAGTCTTCTTACTGGCATAGCAACAAGCACTTCACTGATGGAACCATGCCCCCAGACCCTATATATTTGTTTCTGTTCTCTCTAGAAAGTATGTTATAGAATTATACTAGGAGAGAGAGACTGAGAATATACTGTAATTTTCCAAATCCAACACCACAGTCATACAATGTCTGCAGGAAAAAGTGCTGCACAAATATATTCAGAAAACTGCTATAAATTCAAATAAGTCAGAATCCAGAACTCGTCTGAATTATGGATGGTAAAGGGCTGCCTCAGTATCTTTGAGATTTAAGAAATCATCTTTTACTACGGTAAATCTTGACATACTTTCCTCATATAGAAACTAACAAAAAATGAGGTCATCTGATATGAATTTGGAGATAGCCACAAGTCAGAATTTTGTTTTAGAGTTTTTTTTTTTTTCAAGTCACCAGAGATAGTATCCTTGACAACAGAGATGACTGGTGAGGGAGGGAAAAGATAACACTCCCTGAACTCCTTAGCAACTTTCAGACAAAAAGCTTGCTTTGTACTTTGCTTTTCCTTTAAGACTATAGGAAACCAAGAGCCAACTTAGTCCTGTGATTATTAGCATTTTTCCATTGACAGAATCATCTGTATACAGTCACAGAATTATGACTTAACATCTTTTCTCCATTCTAATTATACACTGGAGGTTTATTATGCACACTTTACATGTACTAAATAGCTTAATCACCACAACCTTTCCACAAGATCAATTTTTTCATTTTTCAAGTGAAAAAATTGAAGCATATGTAAGTTACATAGCTTACCACAGGTCAAAAAGTTATTAAGCCCTGATTGAGACTGGACACCAGGCAACTGAGCTGCATAATGGAATTTGAAAATATTGCACAGTCTCATTTTAGCAAATAGATTGGAAGGGAATGTTCTAGGAGATGATGATTTAAATTCTGTGAATTATGGAGTGAGGTGGAATCTCCAAGATCCATTCGCAACATGTGTGTGTTGCCTTGGGAACTAACAAACGAGCAGTGAGAGTCCTTCCCTTTACTTTTTCAGCAATAGAAAAGGCATTTTGGGAGGTTTTGAAACTCCAATACATCTTATCATTTAGGATAGACAGTGATTCCTTTGCAAGTACTGACTGAAAGGAACACATGTAAGGAGAGACAGAAGAGGGAACTGTAAGTGTCACGGAAAACACCTTTCTCACCATATTTGAAACTCCAGATTGGTGCTGTTGATATCTGGGTCATCAAAAGCACAGGTCAGTGAGTCCTGGGATCCATCCACTTCCAATTGGCTATAGCACCAGAATGAGTAGTCATCAAGTTCTGCATCTTCAAAGTCTCCTGGGGATGAACAACATGTAACTGTTCAGGAAACAAATGTTCCTTAATAAAATGCAGATTTTGTGACAGACATGAAGGAGGGATCAGAGTTAATCTAAAGAAAGACATTCCAAGGGAAAAGACAACAAACAACAACAACAACAACACCACACACACGCCAACAAAACCCATTGTGCAGTTTCTAACAGAAAACTTTCATCATAGTTAATGAAGAAGTTCCTGGTATATCTAAATAGCTCTGCCATTGGTTTAACACATGAGAGAATTAGGAGACACTGAAGAGCCTCTTTCTTTGTTTATATTGGGATTCTTTGCTACATTTTAAAACCATATTTAAAAGATGTTTCTTTAAGGTGATATTCTCAGTTTCATCCAGGTGTTCTAACACACGCAGGGAACATGATGCCTGGCAGATACAGAGGTATTAAATATGTGCTGAACAACTCCCCAGTCAGGCTGAAATATTGAAATTATATTTGGCTACATTTTCACATTGAAATGTTTGCACATTTCGAATAAGAGAGTCTGTATTTCCATCATTCGTGTGCCACCTAAGGCTACCTTGGGCTTCACCTCCAGTTTTCATCTATCCCTTCTAAGTTCTCTTTGCAAATGAAAGATGACTTTTGGCTATTCCAGTCAAAAGTTTACTTTTTATGGGGTTGTTTTTCTCTCCTAAAAGGGTATCACAAGTGAAAAACACTATTGATGTCACCAAAGCGTAACAGTTTAAGGCAACTCAAGTCACTGGCTGAGGTAACCGTGATACAGAAAGGTAAACCCTAAGGACTCCATAGCTTGTGTCTATGTGCTCATAGATGATATAAAATGAATCCTGTATATACCAGCAATATTCTTTAAAAACATTGTAAATAGAGTTTTGTGTGTGTGCACCCACTTTTGGAAACTATAATTTTTTCAGATATTTTATTTGATTTCTTAGGCTGGGTTATAGATCATATGATTAAATATATACTTTCTGTATGCATATATGTATAAGTGCATATGTGTGTATGTGTTTGTATATTTGTACATAGATATAATATGTTTAAGAGCAGAATGAAACTGGAAACATCTTTCAGCAAATATACTCCAACAAGAACCTAGGAAAATCCAGAGTAATCAAAGCCATTCTCATGGTAGCGGAGCCTGAGCTTATGATTGTTTCCATGGATTGCTTCCTACTAATAACAGTAGTTTCACACTTCTAAGGTTCTAACATGGATACAGAATATGTTAACATTGAGTGTCCAAGAAGCCATGTGCCCTGTGCAATTCTAATTGCATTCTCTTTATTTAATGAACCCCAAATTCTACCAGTCAGGTAAGTGACAGGCCTAAGCAACAAATCTAATAGCTCAGCTAGACATGAGCTGTGGGCACTGCTCATGATCACAGATACCTATTTGACTTTCTGAGTTTTCCCAGAATCTGTCCATTTTAGTTTTGGAATCAGCAAGTTATTTTAATATAGTTTCAATATAGTATAGCTTTCCCAATGAGAGGGTTACATAAGAAAGATGCAGCCCACCTTTGAAAGTTCATATTTCAAAACATGTCCTTTTCTAATTTTCTGAACTTAGATATCTTCTTCTAGGATCTGGCACATTTTAAAATGAAATGGCATTGAGTGGTTTCACTTGCCATTATATGGAAGTTACCTTGCTGTCTTGAACTTTGCTTTTCTTTGAACCATTCACCAAACTTTTACAACAGAAAACACGTTCCTATTTTGACTTGGATATCCCATGGGTCATCTTTGTCTCCTATATTTGACGTTATCTCACACAGTATGCAAGTTAACTGGTCATACAATTTTCTCATGCTCTCAAAGTGGTTATGTTTGAAGGAGCAGCTCACTGGGTTTTTCAGAAGGTGTTACAGAGCAGAAAAAGTGCTCTGTGACCAAGAAAAATTCCCTTGAACACTTGTAAAATCACATGTCACTGAGGGAGAATATTTTACTTGATGTAAGATGAAGAACTCCGAGCTAAGAGTAGTGTGCATAGTAATTAAGTGAGATCATTACTAAGCTTCAATCCTTGCTGTTCTGCCTTGTAGCTTTGCTCTTCTTTGATATTACTCAAACTCTCAAAGTTCACATTCTGAGACATTAGCTCGTGTCATAATAGTTATTGAATAGATCTACACAAAGATTTAGCTTCAACCATGCAAGTACTCAATTAAGGTTAGAACTCTGTTGTAGTCTCTTTGAGAGATAAGTGATGTCAAGGTAAAATATAAATTATAATTCTGAAAATATACATGAAGCATGTGGAGCTCTTTTGAAAACATTCTATATCAACTGAAGGTATTATCTTTACTGTGGTTTTGACATTTTGTTGAACTTTGGAATAACAAGTTAATTTATGATTCTTCTAGTGTTTGACACTAAGTATCATTAATATTTAAATAAATATCTAAGCACACAAAAATTTTCTAAGTGCAGATATTTAAATCATTAGAAATACACATACATATATGCAAGGCAGTGTTATTTAGAGGACTTCCTCCTACAGAAGAAAATTTGTAGATTAACAGTATAAATTGTTTTGGCTTTAAAAAGTTTTTTTATTTATTTTTATTTTTTATTTTATGTGTGTGAGTGTATTGCCTGCATGTCTTTAAGTGCACCCGGGTCATGCAGTTCCAGTGGTGATCAGGGGAGGGCATCAGATCCCCTGGAACTGGAGCTTCAGATGGTTGTTAGCTGCCTTGTGGGTGCTGATGATTGAATCCCGACCTCTGCAAGAGCAGCCAATGTCCTTAACTCCTGAGCCATTTCTATAGTTCCTGTTCTGACTTTTAAAAATGGTATCTTTTCTCATTTTGATCATTCTTATGGCTACCAGAAGACTGACTTATCTTTTAACCAATAGCAGCTGATTCTTTTGTGAATTCCTTTGATCCCAAAGTGGAAAGTATTATGACATGATCATATGATTTGAACCATGGTTACAGAGGTAAGAAATTCTGAAAATTTAAAAGTTGAAGTGAAAAATCCAGCTTTCAACAGGAATTGTTGCTTCTTTTAAAAATAGTATGACCATCAGTAAGAAAAAAAAATGAAACATGCCAAAGGACAATAAAGTTTTCCTGTATCCTGTCATGTCTTTGAGCAAACATTTAGCATGAAATAATGACCCTCCCTTACAAAATGATTAATTCATTGTCAACACTGTAAATTATCACTCCTCTGACAATTCCCTTAATGAGAAAACCCAGGGGTTTTCCATCCATAGTACATCAGCTTCTAGGAACTAAACATTTGATGCATTCCAAATCAAATTATGTTGAACACATGATGAATTTGCCCAATAGGATGGCAAGTCTGTGTATTTCAAATAAAACACTTTACTCAGATCTTTACTGAATTATTCATTAGGAATCTAATGTAAATCTGTCAAACCTAAATATTTTGAAGAAATAGACACATTATTGAGTGACGACTTGTTCTAGACACTGACTTAGGCACTGAGATATAACTCTGGTGAATGTACAAAGCTATTGCTTTTGGATATTAATTTATCATGAGTATTTATCGTTTTAGAACCTTTAAAAAGTTAAACAAAACAAATCTAGCTTGGTTTTCTGGTAGGGTACAGTTTCCTTAGAAATTTTCCAACAAGCACAATCAGAGCATCAACATGAGTGATCTTTTATAAAACAGAAACATCAACCATCATTATGACCCAGATTTTTTGAAGCAAATGCATTCCTTCTTGACAGTTCTTATGAGTTATAAGCCACCCACAATATTGTCACCATGCCTTCTGTCCTGGTGATTACTACATCCAAAACAATTGAGTCTGCCTTAAGTTCTTGATCTCCATACCAGCTTGGTCCCAGCTCAAGCCTCTTAGGGAACTGAGTGACTTGAAATATGCTATAGATAATGAAATCCTTTCAAAAAGTTAGAAATGACTCACCATTTTGTGCATTGCCACTTTCTCCAGAAACAGCCTGAAGTAAACAGAAAATCATACCAGAAGATATACCTAGAATCGTCATTCTGAGAGAGGGAGAGAGAGAAGGGAGCAGAAGTGTGAGCCTGTGAGTACGAATGAATGAGAGAGAGAGAGAGAGAGAGAGAGAGAGAGAGAGAGAGAGCAGATACAGCTCTGTGCTTAACCACAGACAGGGAAGTATGAACACAGCATAGGAGGCCAGTGCCAGAAACAGGAAGTCTGAGCAAAAGGATTGCTGCTGTAAGCAGAGGTAGAGGAAATGAAGAGGTAGAGCACTTAAGCTTTGTGTCTCTCAATATTCCCAGTACCCATACAGGCTAGGACCCAATTTAAAAGGATCACAAGGCAAACAATCTAAACTTACAAAGCTAATCAGTTGGTTATTTGAGGAGACTTTTGTTTTACAAAAAAGATTCTGGGACGTAATTGTCCCATTTAGGCCTGAACACTTTACAGTTGCAATTCTCTGTGTTTGATCAATTTGAGTCCCCATAATTGTCATTCACTGCAGAAAGCAGCTTCTCTGATGAAGGCTGAGAACTGCACTAATTTATGGGTATAAGGATAAATATTTAGAAGGCAGTTTGGTTTTATGTTTATTTAGAAAAATAATAGTAATAGGTTTTCCCCTGCGGTCTATGGCCTCTCCAGCCATTGGTTCTTGGCAAGGTTTCCAGTATCAGACATGAGTCATACACCCCCTGAAAGCTCAGGGAATGTCACAGAAGAGGGATGGAAAGATTATAAAAGCCAGCTGTCAGAGAGGAGTGCTGGGAAATGGTGTCTTCTAGCCATGACAGGACTTTTGCACTCATAAACTCATAGTAACTTTAGTTGTTTGCACAAGAGCTCTACAAAGTCTAGCCAACAACATTGTAGCATGGATGGGTGGGGGGGGGTGGGGGAGCTCCTGAGGCTACCCTAGCTGAGGTGCTGCTGGTCTTTTGATGGTGACCAGGGGAGGGAGAGTCAGTTCTTCAGCAGTGTGGTCCATTATATGTTGCTCATGCTCCAGTGGATGGCCCTATACTCATGAACATAGGTGAAACCCTGATAAACTCAGTGAATTATTATTATTTTATTATTATTTTTTAAGGGATATGAAGTTGGGAGGGGCATGGGAAATTATGGTAAAAGGCCGAAGTGAAAGGTGATATGATTTAAATAAATTATATACCTGTATGAAATTGCCAAGAATTAATCAAAACCTTTACAAAAGAGTCTGTATTTTATAAATTATTACTGGCTCATTTTAAATATTTTACCCCCAACTTTAAGTTTTATAAGAGCAGCAGCTTTTCTAGTGTGTGCTCTGTGTATCTCTAGAACATATTCATATTTAACTCCTCAGTCTAGGCATTCATGAATTGCTTAATGTTTGTGTTGGCAAATTATGGCCCAGGGACAAAATTTAACCCATCACTTTCTTTTATAAACAACTCATTATAGGAAACTAATGGTTCCCATTTGTTTGTGTATTGATCCACCTGAATTGTGCTATAACTACAACAGCAGATCTGAGTAAACAAGACAAATTTTTTGATGAATGAGTAGTAAAGTTGTTACCATCTAATTCTAGAAAACGTTCTAATAGTCAAACAATGAAATATTTATTTTCTTGGAATATTTAAAGTATTATATTTGCATAAATCATACTGGCTATCAACTTCTCAGAAATATAGACTCCATACAAATTTTATTTGTTCCTACATGTATAGGGCAGGAGTCTGATTATGTGTCATAAATCATTCAGACCTTCCCTAAACTTGCATGTCAATACAAATTTCTCTCCGTGTGGTATCATGGTAATGTGATGGTGTTTATTAAGCTTGACTGATGTTTTGATAATTGTTGTATTATTTTCTTTAAGTCATTACCAGGATTACTGTTGACCTGCTAGTAGTCTTCTCATCATGAGACAGACAATGCCTTTCTAGTACTTCATAGGAATCAGGAAACCTGGATTCAGGCCATAAAGCACTACTCTTTTGATTCATAGTGACTCTTGGAAAGAATCAGTAATACTGTGATTATAAAGAATAGGGAGTTATGAACTTCTGTCAAGGCCTTCCATTGGGTAAGATTAATTATATGAACCTGTCTGAATTAACATAAACAGATATGGAAAACTTCCATGGTTTAAATTCAATCAGTCTCTGGAAGCTGAACAAGTTAGCTTCTCTCATTATTAGTTACCAAGAGGCCTTAATACAACAAGAAAGAGGAAGTGGGTTATTTGTATCACTCTCTGAAAACTACCCCTCAGCTTTGAGTGACTCTTAGAGCTGGACATGGCTCACGCCAATTAACATGCCTTGTTCCTTGGGCCTAGAAGGATGGATCAGCAATTAAGAGCACTGGCTGCTCTTGCAGGGGACCTGATTTCGGTTTCCAGCATCCATATGACAGCTAACAAAAGTTTATAACTCTAGCTCCTGGCAATCCATTGCCTTCTTCAGGCCCACAGGCATTGCACCCCAGGTGCACTTACATGAATGCAGGCAAAGCACTTGTTCACATAAAAAATCGATATAAAAAGAAATAAAATGTCATGCTTATGACTACAAGCCCAAGATAAATTTCAGAACAAGAATTCAGCTAACAGTGGCATATTTTTATCTTTTCTGTCTGATTAGGCATCTTCTTGGCATTTTAAATCTGTCCCACACCAAATGAGTGATGATTTTATGTATGAGGTAATCATTTGTGTCTGTTTCTAATCTTGTTTTAAAAGCTTGATTAGAAAAACATAAGCTTTATTCACAAAACATCAGTACATTTTGCATATTGAGCTGAATATGCTTTCTAGAAAGCTATAATTATAAACTACCAGGAGCTAAGTAAATGTTTAAGGAGAAATGACAAATTATTTACATCTGCCAACCCAGATCTCATGAGCTACTCATGAACTGTCAGTCCATGGGTAAGCAATTGGGTCATGTCTCTTTAAATTCTCTTGTTTATCATTTAAGTGGACTATCATTTCGATTGTATCTCTTTCCTTTAGTTGTGAAGATGTGAAAGAACAAAGTCAAGACATAATATTTTGGTACAGCATGTGCCAGTTTGCTCAGGGGATTTCCACTGGTGTGCTTACCCTCTTTGGGTGGGGCGGGAACTACTGAAAGGACATCATAGAGAAACCTAAATTAAGATTGAGGAGTTTAGAGGAAAATGAGAAGCATCACCAGTCCTTCTAGGGATTGTGGGGGAGCAATGGTAATTCTGTTTCTTCAACCTGGACCTTCTGAAACTGACAAAAGATGAACTGCCTTGATTCATCCATCCGCCACTGCATTCACTACGCTGCTTTGTCATCACTGTTTGTAAGAAAGCAGAGACAGAAGAAAGGAGGGTAGGAAGACTGCAGGACATCTGAGCCTCCCCCTGAGAAATCAGGACCTCGTGTGGGTCACTGGGTGTGGCGGTTTGTTTGAATCATCACATTATTCTCTATCCTCATCACTGCCTTTCATCAGTATCTTATCCCTCTTTTATGTATTTTTGATTCACCTATAATATGGTGAATCATTAAAAAGGAAATTCACTTTATCCTTTCTCAAGGATATCCTTTCGTAAGCAGAGCACAGTGATGATGTAGAATCAATGCCACTTGGTCAAGTATCTCCAGTCTTTCTTGCTTTTGCAGTTATTAGGGCATCTGTGAAACGGACAAAGCACATAGAGATTTTAAAAATTTTCATATCGTAAAAGTTTGCAAAACCTTCATATATAAACAATAAAGCCTTAAAGAGCCCTGAGAGCTGACCTTTCAGTGCAATTTCAGATCCCAGATCCCAGGATGGAGGAGTGTGGGAATTGTTAATTTGACTATTTGTTGTTTGTTAATACGGAGTCTATCTGGAAAGACCCACATTATACATTTTTTCCCAAGTTAGGAGAGGTAAAATTTTTGAAGGAAAATTCAGGCTGAGCATTTAAAAAAATTTTATTATTATTAGTTAGCGTACAAAAGAATGGACTTCATTAAGGCATTTTCATATGTCTATATAATTCCACTTTAATGTTATTCACCCTAATTACTCTTTCTTGACGCTTTTACTCCCAGTGTTCCTATTCTTCTCTCCAAATAATCCTCCTTCTTTCTATCTCTATCTCACACACACGTACCACATAATTCTAAATTCTGTATATGAAAGAAACCATGAGATATCTTTTATCTTTATCTTTCTTTTTCTCACCATTTTGGCCTCTTTCTTCCTCCCACTCTCATTAGTTCCCTCCCTCAATAAAATAATCCTTCTTTTATTTACATATCTCAAAAATAAACATATTTAAACTAGATTCCATATATGCAAAAAAATATACAGTATTTGATTTCCTAAGTCTAGCTTATTTTATTTAATCTGATCTCTAGCTTCATCAGTCTTCCTTAAAATGATGGAATTCCATCTTTCGTTATATCCAAGCGGGATTCTAGAGACTTTCTTTCTTTCTTTCTTTCTTTCTTTCTTTCTTTCTTTCTTTCTTTCTTTCTTTCTTTCTTTCTTTCTTTCTTTCTTTCTTTCTTTCTTTCTTTCTTTCTTTCTTTCTTTCTTTCTTTCTTTCTTTCTTTCTTTCTTTCTTTTTTGAGACAAGTTCTTCCTGTAGCCCCAGCTGGCCTGAACTCTCTATGTAGACCATGGTGGCCTCTAACTCACAGAGATCCACCTGCCTCTGCCTCCTAAGTGCTGAGAATAAAGGTATGCACCACCACTCCTGGCTCCAAAGGATGGACATCTTAATGTCTTACTAATCACTATACTTTGAACTCATCTCTTAGGAAACAGAATTTCATTTCTTCTCATTCTAGAAATTATAGACTAAATGAGAAACATCAATGTGTTATCTATTTTTTGTTTTTTAAAAAAAAATCTTTGGGAAACAAATGGTCATCAGAGTAAAAGTAGTTCTCTGAATGTTTTTACATGAAGTTTACAAAATGGTCCTTAAATATTTATTAATATTTCAAAAAATGAGGATGATTTTAAAGTTACTTACCTTGTAGTTGCATACTGAAAAACAGCAAAGTGAAACAGCATCAACAACAGACAGAAAATGCTATGAGAGGAATATCCTGGGTCCAAATCTGACATCGAGAAATACTCAACAAGTTCTAAAACACATTCCACCAAAGCTGTATTAACTGCCCCATCCCACTATCAACTTACCTTC